CAGCATAAGTGGCCAAAAGTCAAAAGTATCAAAATTAGCGAAACCCTACCAGACAGACGATGACAAGAAAACAATAAAGACGAAATAGAAAATTGAAAAATTAATGGACACAATCATCAGCGAAACCGGTAGCACCAAACAAATTCAACGCTAAATTTATGCTCATGAACATGGCCGTGACACAAAAATACGAGAAGAAGAAGGAGCGACGATTTTCAAGCAATATTTTCAGTAGCTTGAAAGTATTCACGACGTACACTTAGTGAGGATAAATCGTTCTTGTCCGGAAAGACCGACAACATATCGTCGTTCTCTTTGTACACTCGCACCTGAGAGTAACCAATCAACATTCAGATATATAAGAAGTAAGAGCTGGGACTTGAAAACTGCCTTAATTAGCAACGGAAAATGACCATAACCCCCCTTCTGGCCAGTTGTTACATTACCAGGGCGGCCATAAAGAATAGAAAAGTCCTTCCGATCGGGCTGTTATGGGTGGCTTTCACACCTAATCAAAGTCCCAGAGCTTCTCCTAAACCAGAAGAGGGTACATAGACCGACTTAGCTACGGTAATCGGATCGATGCCGAATGGCCACGGCGCGACCTGTAGTGTTTATAAGTAAACTGCAACTCGGTGGTAATGTTGTAGCTAGTTAACCTATTGCTATACCGTCCCTATTTAGGCCCAATTAAAAGCTCTCACCCAGGAAGGTCAAATGGATTTGTGTCACATCGGTTTTATAGAAATCCGATGTTCTTTTTTCAAGTTCGAAAATTTCTATGACAAAAGGAGGGCTCGAGGCGGGACTTCTACAGCCGGTATAGCCTATATTTTCGAAGAGCTCTGATGAAACTCATCTAAAAACCAGATGGAGCAGCAGCAATCTCATCCCAAACTCAAACACTGGTCAGGAAATCAATTCAATAATCCGGAATGTTCGAGAAATATCATTGAGGAAAGGTAAGCAGAGGTTAGACATATGGTGGCTGGTGGATCTCAAAAAGTATCACCTTCCAATGGTTCGGTCTCAAAGCTTAGTCATAGAAAGGTCAATCCCGTTCCTACGATATTTCAACAACAACAACCTCCCCCCCCTCACTCCAATCAGCTAACTATAGATCTAAATCATGCAGTTCTGCAGTGAAGGCAATGAGAACGTAGATGAAGACGACTGGGACGCGCACACACACGGTTGTGTATTCGGCCGTGTGTGCCGATGTGTGTCTGCGTCTGTCTTTGTATTGATCACTTGTCCACGTGTGTATGCGCTGTGTGTGTGCGTGTGTGTGCTCGTCTGTGCCCTGTCAATCGGCCGTGTGTCTCTTCATCACGACTTCGGACCAACAGGGACACACCAACACACATCTCAGTACAGCACGCAAACACAACCCTTTTCCCGTTCTGCCACGCGATCCCCTGCTATAACATGAAAGACGGGCTGGCACCGGCCCCCACCAAGACGTCTACAACCACATCAGACATGGTAGCCGTTTTCGCACTCAAATAGCAGGGTTATGTTTAGCCGCCTGAGAAATTGAATACTAAGCAATTCAAGTCTCCATTGTAAGTTTAAGGTTTTAAGCGACGTACTGGAAGGGGTAGGGCCATACCTCCCGTGGTGATGAGAAGACAGGAAACCGATTTCACAGGAATTTTCCGATACAAAGAGACTGGGATTTCGCTTAGGGCTAAACCACTGGATTGCACTATACGCTAACACTACCACATACCCAAGGGGAAGAGTTACTGGCCACCTCCAAGGACTATCTGGGGTCACAAAACATAAAGACGCTACCTGGTCCAGTTGCATTTGAGGGCAAATCTGTAACGTCTCGGCAACCAGTTGTTCAAGGACCTGAAAATAGGGAATAATGACGAACATTCCACACCATTCAGATGATTCCTCGCAGAATAGTTTTCAGCATACATTCTTGCAGCTTTTGACGGATTGCTTACTTAAAGCTGGATGATCAACATAATTATTTATTTATTTGCAATTTAAGTATAGTGCATAGATGGTGAACAATAAAGGATAAAGGATAAAGCATTTGCCGTTGATCAATCCCTTTTTGGGATGCGGCACGCATTCTACTTCCATTTGTACATTCGTAGTGGCGTTTGAATGCGATGTGGCCTATACAATGACTTGCGGGGGCCAGCCGACAGTCAGTGTTTTTATCCTCCCAGACAAGTCTGGTACCAATTAACCGACCCCGGAGGGATGGAAGGCTTGGTTGGCCCGGGCGACTCACGACCCAGGATTTGATCCCCGGACCGCTCGCGTGGTAAGCGTGCCACTTGCCACTACACCACTTCCGCCCTAATGTAGCAATACTATCAAAAATGAGGGAAGAAGTCTTTGATTACCCTCTAAAATGCAAAATTTATTTTTTACAGTACTGATGCCAGACACCCGCCTTTCACTAACTGGATTCTTTTCACAAAGATACCTGATCGGAATGAACCACGGAATTATCACACTCCTCCATCAAAGTTTTTGGAAAACTGTACTGTAGGTTCTAACGATAAGATTCAGTCTACCTTCGGCTAATATGCAGTTAGCTGCCTAGAGGATCCCACACGAAAAACTTATTTATTCCATCTCCGTATAAGTGTGTTGCGCAAGCATAGTAGACCATTTGCAAACTTCAACAGGCACAAAAATGGAATTGTGAACAACTCTTGGAAAAGTCATCTCCTGCACAGCCGCTGGTCGTAGGCGCGGAGCAGGAAATAGGGTCAAATGATGAGATGCATGAATACGGTAAGGTGTGAGGTTTGAGAACTTGGCATGGAACTCTTAATGTTGGCCTCGGTTCAATGCTGTGTTTTTTCAACCATCAACATTTTTTTCGGCAAAATTCAAATCGTTTGAAATCTTCGTGGTAAATCTGATTTTTTTTATCGAAGTGAACGTTAGTTTTTTGTTTGGCTGTCGTTGTGAAATATGTAGAAAACTTGGAGTACCGAATTTGCTAAGATTGTTGGAGGAATGGAGGGGAGCCTCGCCGCCGCTGGGTGTGGCATAGTGCAAAAGTAAGAATCCGTGAGCCAGGGGAATAACATCATTTCAGACGAGGAGGTGGGGGGAGGAGGAATTGACATGCGTGAAAAGTTGGAATATGCAAGTCCACACTACCTTGCTGGAAGGACGCAGAGTTGCCGTGCGCCCTCCATATGCCTCACCGAATTGCTTGCGAGTGGCAGCGTTTCGCGCATGATGCCTCCAAAACACCTACCTCAGGAAGATTATGTCGCAACAATATAATCCAGTGCGGCAGTACAAGAAGCCTTTGAGAGTACACAGCTGCCGCCGTACGTCGGGGGCTCAAGTGCGCTGGCCAATGGCGTAGGGCTTACAGAGTGAGTAGTTTCGCGAATGTGAGCTAATGGACGAGATACCTTGCGCACACCCCATGATACGCAACACGACGTGCGGCAAATTCAAATACACCATAACGCATCTGGGGCGCCACTCCCCTATTTCTCAAGGGGCCGTCTTCCCATGTTCCACACATGCGGTACTCCACACATTTATATTCGAACCGCGTATTACCGGACTAATTTGTCTCGAGTCATGCTGTGTTTCACACGAGCAATTGAGTGCAAATTCACAAGGTATAAAAGTGGCCTACGCTCCGAGCTGAGCAATAATAGTACAATATACTAGGCTATTACAGTAACATATTATTTCGTGAGAAACAACAACAACAGCAACAACAACGTTACCTCTTTGCAGACCGACATTGATTCGCGAGACGAGACCTCTACCCACACAGACTGCGTCTCCTCGGACATCTACAACGAATAATTTGAAGTTTAAATCAAGCAATAGCATAAGGCGATTGGCAGGTACAAAAAGTTACCTTGGTCAAATCACTGTTGGTAACTGGCGCTAAGCTAATCACTAAGCCCTCAGCATCTATGAGACACGGCAAATTTGGGAGATCCAGCACAAGATTGAGGTATCTGAAAGTGGCACAGATGGTTTTCGGAGAGTTCAGTAACTGGTGATGCAAGAATCAGAAAGCATCAGCAGCGAAATTCGAAAGCGTCCCTAACGCGGTCTTATACAATCTTGCCCACCGAATCACCGAATTGAAAACATGAACAAAGTCATCAAAGCGATCACTAATCACCCTCACCACATTCACCATTTGATCACTAAATTCAGGGCAAGAAATGGATGGCCAAAAAATCGTTACCACTGCCAAGTGTGGTTCGAAGATAGATGTTGGGGTCACGCTGAGCATGGACGTAATTAATAGGTAGGTGTCAGCGCTTAATGGAGCAGCAGTTCTCTCAAGCGAGAAAGTGGAGATTTTCGCTGCAGAAGACTCCAAAGGTTTTCCATTGCTTTCTGGCCAAGGTGGATGCGCTTTCTCCAAAATTGTCGTGAGGAGAAAGAGGTGCTCGCAAGCTTACTGTAGTGTCATATCCGCAAGCATGCTGGAAGCAACTTTCCACGCGTCTTCTATCGAGTGCGGCTGTCAAGTCCGTAGGCGTGTTATTGACGGATTTTCCGTTTTTGTTTTTCGCAACCGGCGCCTTATTTGGCACCCTCACATCAACTGTGATACCAACCCAATCTTATAGAATCCCCCAACCAACCCCCCCCCATCCGAAAGGAAATATGATTAATGGCGAAATGCTGTGTCCTATTTTGCTGCTTGAAAAACTACGCAGTCACAGCAAGAAAAAATAAGGAGAGAGCACAATTAAAGAAAACACGGCCACCCTACTGAAAAAAGGCCGGTAGACACATTTACGACGCGAATCTCCTGTAGTGTGATCGTTGGCCTTTACTTGACAACTGGGAGATGTACAAGTATAGTACAAGCAAGCATAAGCATAGATATGCTCATGGTAGACTACTTATTCACTGACGCTTGTCCTGTTTTTGTTGTATGAAGAAGCATTTTTCGCTATTCTGGCAGCGGTCACAGGCGTGAGCCATGAATGGGAGGAAATATGCACATATATGAAGAGGAAAGATACAGATACAGTGAGCGTCTGATTCCATGGATTATTAAATGTTTTGTTACCAGGCCGCTAGAAAGCAAAAGGACATCTGTTGACTTCCAAATTTACTCACTTTTTTTCCAAAGCATACCGTCTCATCGAAAAAAAAAAAAGACTGGTAAAAAAATGCCAAAGACGAACCGATGCAAAGGATTCAGGGTGTTGCGTTTTGTTCGCCTTCGGGCCAAATCGCATCTCTGTCGCAGCTCAATCAGTTCACGAGCACTAACTGGCTTCTTCTTGTGCAGGGCAGTGATCTGAAAATTGAACTTCAAGGAAAGTGGAACGTCGGTCACAAGATGAGAACAGATTTCGTGAAGGAAAAAAAAGAACGTTATTATGCGCAATGGAAGGATGAAAGCATTTGGAGTTTATCTACTCCTCGTGATTGCGCCGTGCATTCGACCGAGATTTATAGATACAACAATGGCGATTGTGCTTCCATAAATACTAAACTGAGCCGATGCACACTCAACGTCGTTTAATGCCTTGAGAACTCTGCACCTGATCGTCCTGGGGATTGATGTAGTGTATGTACAGGGTGGTCCAAAATTATGAGGACCAAGACATTGTGTCGTTAAAAACGCATAGTAGCTTGATGGAACAAACCAACTTCTGGGAAGTATTTGTAACTCTTACCTCAAAGTAATTCCAGAATAGAATTGAGATCTGCCACTTCCCCCGTTAACACGAGCCTTCGGATGAGGGGGATGGCGCGTGCGGTGGCACGCAACTAAGGCGTGTCCAAATGTTTCCAGGCCTTCTGCTCTGCCTTCTTCAGGGAATCAAACTTTTGTGTGCATTTATTTGCGCTTGCATCCAGGGTGTGAAATACAGAAATCTAGAGCTATTAGGTGGATGGTTCCATTGTAACAATTCTTCGAAAGCAACGAACTCGAAAAATCGCTTTTTGGAGGATTTTTGCTTTATTCTTGGGTGCTCGGTCCTGTAAGAAGTTCTAAGTAGACTACTCGTGTGGCTTTCTATCCACTACAGATGTGGAGTCTTTAGAGTGTCTGGCTGGGTTTTCACATCAATTTTTTCATTTTGGGTGTACGAAAGTCGACAAGGGGAGACCTAGTTTCTGCATCTGATAATTATCCTGGTGGTAACTGTAACTTTCGAGTCCCGAATTTTCCATCTGTGGTGATTCCAAACTTATTGAAGAGTTGAACTGTTGCTCATAAGGGCTTCTCTGATAGGTTAGACTGCTGCTAGATGTAACGTGCCAGAGCCCCTAGTGAGTTCAATTTGAGGACTGACTCAAAGTGAAGTAGTTATTTCACTAGTTTTGAGAACTTCATGAAATTTGGGTTTCATTAGGAAGAAGACATTGTACCCTTTCACATAGTGCACAGAAAACGAGATGAAAATGGAGCGATACGGAAAAAAGTGGATATGACTGCGCGCGCACGCGGTCCTCATAATTTTGGACCACCCTGTATGATAGCTGAGAGAGGCTCGATCCATTGTTTTATTACTGAACGGGTTGTTAGCCTTGGTGGGGCTTAATATGAAATTTGATCGCTTTTAAATTCCATCAAGACTTTAAAATAGGTGATCGAAAGAAAAAAATTATACATTCATCCGAACATCCTTAGCTTTACTCCCAAAAATTGCCCACATCACCTAATCTGAGTTTGTCCCGACCCTTCGCACAGTTAAATTACTTATAATGGCACTTCGTTCGTTTTTTTTTTCGCCATTCACTCAATTATACATTCCTAATCTCAGTGCTGAAGTGTGGTAGCGCATTTACTCGCGCGCAAACGGTGGAAGTTGAGCTATGAAGACAGCGATTCAGCCGACGAAGCTTCAGGCCGTTTCAATAGAAAGCTTCACATCACCGATCGCTGCGAGAGCTGCGATAGGTCGTAATAACCCTGAACAACTACTGTACCGAGGTTTTGCCAAGACTGAGCAGAAGCTGCCGAGATATTTCACTACATTCTGACTTCACTCTTTACTTTTACAAGTGAGTTTCGCTACACCTTTTTATGATCGCCCAAAAACTTCTGTAGAGATTTCTCAACCTAGCACACTACTGTATTCAGAAAGTATGAATAGGAAAAAAGTAAGGCTCGGCCCAATAAATCTGAGTTATGCGACATATTTGAATGTTTGAAATCGTACACTGACAAAAATACAAACAAAGTAAGATATTTATCAAAAAATGGCCTGAATATAGGTGAGATCTTATCAGTGACCTAACAAAATACACCAATGTAATCCTGGGATAAGCCTTTAATTTTAAGGAAGCCTTTGCGATAAATCCCGTGGGACGAAATGAAAGATGTACGGTGCATTGGGTGGAATACTTGCCTAATAAGACGATAGGCGGCTTACAGAGCAGCGGTGCCTAACCAGCGGTGTGATAAGGCACCGGAAAGGAGCTGTTAATTTCGATAGCTCTTGTCCGCCCAACATTTTGGACGTGGAAAGGGTGGCAACGAATGCAGTACACGTCATACCAAGCAGCATATCTTCCTATCCTACCGTGCCGCATTTTCCATAAGGGTGACGTTCTTCAACCATCTCTACGTCAGCTCGTATACCAAGCCTTTCCGTCAAGGAAGAGTGGAACTCTTATCCACCTTCAAACCAGCGCTCCCGCTTCCTTTGCAAATGCTCAAACGTCGATGAAAGTGCAAAACTAATTTGACTTTGTTCACAAACATGCATCACACAGACTTCAGGGAAGTGGTCAGAGAATCCGAACTTTTGATTTTAGCCCCATTTGTATCGAGTTTTGACTATAAGTTCGCCTTGGTGAACCCCTAGCCCATCGTCAAGATTTGATCTCTCCAAATTCACCAATCTCCATTCGCCGTTTCTGAGTTTCTCCGACGCCCTTAGTCAAGAATTTTTGTGGTATTGAGAGAGCGCTCCGCCTGTGTGGGTCAATCTACGATCACTTTGAACATACGCGTCACGACATATCATAGACACTGTATTGTATGCATGTCATATCGCAAATCTACCTAGTTTTCTTCTATGTAGTCTCTAGCCTGCCTATGCCTATGACTCAGTTGGAGTTTTCGCAGTAAGTTCAGCCCATGTTGCAAAGGCAATGTCCAGAGGGTGGACTCTCATCCATCCCTGCTCACCTTCACCCACATTCCCGATCTCTGTATTGCCCTCAACCAGAACGAATTTTTATCAAACAACCCCCCCCCATCTCGGTGCACGCTCCGCCCACCGTGGGTATTAGCTCAAGCGGCTCATGTGTGCGGTAGATATACTGGGCCGTATTCCAACATTCCAAACCCTGCCCGCAAACACCAAATCATTCCTCAGGCAATATCAAGTTCCGTGACAGAAGCGCACACAAATACACCGGCAGACAGATAGACCGCGCTTCATTTACAGTACGGATGAAAAACTATAAAACTCACATGCAGCTCATCTCGAGGTAAAGCTAAATATTTCAAGGGTGGGTTGAAAGACTTGAGTTCGTGGGTTCCAATAGCAGCTATCTCACGGTTGGCACATAATGACGACGCGTGAAGTTTTGTCTATAAGAACACGTTAATGACGAAGGAGAAGTTCCAAAAGAAAATATTAGAGCTAGTTCTCACCTGTATGTTGATGAACTTCTTGAAATTCTCTCCGGTGAGGTCGAGGTTACTGAAAACGCAGCAGGCCAGGAACGGTCGTATTGGTGTTACTGACTCGAAGCGTTTCACATACATCTGGAATACTAATTGTTCTGAGAAATCGGAGCAGGACAAAAAGTAAAGAAATGGAGTTGGAGTGCATCAAAATCTGCAAGATATTTCTTTTCAAACTACTGGTAATTTCTTTGCTTCATTTCTTTGCTTAATTTCTGTGTGCTATTTCGGCACTCTTTAATAAAATATTGTCCATTA